TGTAAAGCTGCCCCCAAACTCTGCCACCTTAGCAGAAACACACGAGGTCTGGGTCAGCCAGACCTGGCACCAGGTCTGCAATAGGGAAGTACTGCTTCTGTGGAGAACTGACCCTGGTCTCTGTACAGCAAAATAGGCACCACCACAGCAGAATGACTCCAGGGGGAGAAAACAGCACAAGAAAAAGGAGATTTCAAGCTAGCAAATTCCTCCTACAAATTCCAGGTGGGGCTGGGATCAGCTGAGGAGGATGAGGCACCCCAACAGCAGCATCTCCTGAAAACTGATACCTTTCAGATCAGATCCCTTTCTCCATCCTTTTAGTATCAACCTGAGGAACCTTCACATGTAAAAATGAGCTTTTCCTCACTGTAAAAAGGAACAGGGAGGGAGCTGCTCCCCCACCTCTCACTGCTCGTTTCTCTGCGGCCGCACACACAGCACGTTCTGAGCACACGCGCAAGCAAGTACCTGAGGACACAAACTAATGCCTGGTCACCACTGAGAGCTGAAGGAGATTGAGCAGGAGATGTCCAAAGTAAACAATTTAAAGCAACACATTTAATTAAAACCAAAATGAGAAGTTGTTGCAAGTCCAACAATTGCAGTCTGCAGAGCTCTGGCAACCTCCAGGGAAAACAAACACGAGCTGCTAATAGCAGCATCCAGTTCCACCAGTGACTTGGAGGTAACAGTCATGGGGGGAAGGTAAGGAATGAACATCAGATGAAACAATTCCTGATCAGCTGTATGAAAACCACAGCACATCAGATGGGCAGAAGCAGAGGTATGAAGCTTAAGAGAAGAAAAAAAATACAAGTAAAAAGGAAAAAAAAAAGAAAAAAAGAAGCCACAAAGAAGCTTCCTCCAACTGCCACCTCATCAGACACTCAAACCCAAAGTGTGGTCTCAAGTGGCAACCCCACTTCCTGCTGTCCTCCTGGCTTTGCCTTGGGAGGGTCAGGACGTGCTTTCCTCCTCCTGTCACCTGCAGGTCAGTGTTCACCTTGGGAGAAATTTATCTTTGCAGGAGGCTGCAGCAGAAGTGTGGGGGCTCAGAGCACAGCCCAGAGCATGGCCAGCACACGCTGTGCCTCTGCTCCCACCTCCACCACCCAGCCCAGCTGCAGCTCAGCCAGGTTTCAAAAGAATTACTACGTCTCCTCTGGCACAAAGCTCAGAAGAGGAGGGATGGAGGTTGTGGATGCCCCAAAATGTCTTTGAAGTGATAGAAACCTGCTTTATGCCCTTTGCTTTATTTCCACTTATAAAACAAAGTCCTACAAGCCCCAAGCTAAATGTAGCTCTTGCTTCCTTCTGTGCACCTGAGGATCTCATCTACCTCTCCCACTAAAGTATCCAGATACAAACATCCACCCACACCGTATATAACCTCTTTGCAGGCTGTAAAACTGGGAAGCTTTAATTGATACTATATTTCAAACTGTTGTGCTGCAAGGACATATTCCAGGCTGAGTCCTCCAGGGTATCTTTCTCCAGCCCTGCCTTCCCTGCAAGCTGCTCTTGTTGCTGCATCTCTACTTTTTGAATGATTACTTACAAGATGGAAAAAAAAAACCAACAACCAAACAACCCAACTATTGAATGTATAGAGCTGAGTGGCTCACATATTCATAAAGGCTTTTATTGCTCAGATGGAGGGACTCTCTTCCCTTTCTTCCCCCCTTTGACACTGCTAAAGGGTGCTCTAAATAATGCTTCACATTTTCATATCCTCATAAAAGCCACAATGAGTCCTTCTATAAATCTAAGCCATCTCTGAAATCAGCACTAGGCCCTCTGCTCAGCATGTTGCACAAGGGAGGAGATGATGCTCCCACCGTCCCATCCTAAGAGCAGATTTAGAGGTACTGACCCATTGCCTGGAGGAAGGAGCCCCCAGCCTGCCCCACAAGCCATGGGAGCTCCTGCCAGGCTCTCCTGGGTTTGGCCACCCCATGAAATGAAGGCAGAGCAGCTGTACAACCCAGGCAATAATTGCTCAGATGGGAAAGGAGCTGGGGGGGGAGCTACATCAAATGAACAAAAGGTTGAAAATTAACAGAGAGAGAGAAATAAGGGTAATAAAGACAGGCTGCTTATTAATATTGCTGCTTGGAGTATGTTCTCCCAGCCTTTGCTGCCAGTTGGCTTCTGGTCCCAGTCCTTCCCCTCCCCTTTCCCGTTCTGCAACTCCAGTGGGCTCGGGAGGTCCTTTCTCTAACGCGTTGCTGGCTGCAGAGGGGCAGAGCTGCTCTCCTGAGAGGCTGGAGGTGTTTGGTGGAGTTTTCCTCCCCCCTTCCTTTTCCCAGCTTGGTTTTGGCTCCTGGCATGCTGGAGCTGGCTGGCATCTATTTAAAGTTTCCTTCAAAGACGAGTTTTCATCTGCTAGGAAAGGGATTTCTTTCAGCCTCTGTCTTTGTTTGGCTTTTCCTGCAGAGGTGTTGGTAGCTGCTCTGCTCTAAGATTTTCCCTGGGTACTGGCATCTATTGAAATACTGCTTTCACAAAGGGAAGAGAGGGCACGTCTTATCACGCATGGGAACATCTCCTCTGAATGCACCATCCCTGCCTTATCATTGTGCAAAATACAAAAGAGAACAGCTTAAGGAACCAGACTGTTGAAGTGCATGGCAACATTCACGGGACACGGTGCAGGTGCCACGTGAGAGGTTGGTTTAAGCCTGATCAAAGCTCCCAGCCCCAGCTGGGCCAAAGCCATCAGCTTTGCTCACATGGGAATGTCCACACCAACCTCCTTCTGCACCCAGGCAAAAAGCAGTTTCCAACCCACCCAGGAGATGACCAGGGAGGAAAAAAACTGTTTTCCCATCATCAAGACTCTGGGTACCAAAACTCTGCAAACACAACCAGCCACGTTTTCTTGGGTGTCATAAAAATTCCCCAACCTGGCTCAGCTCTGTGATGTCTTTAAATGTTTTATAATATTTTGCTGCCAGTTGAATGTTGCCTTGGGATTTGTTGTTATTCAAAAAGAAGGGACAATTTGAAGAGCTTTTCTGTTCCCAGGCAAGGGACTCTGCCATCACAAAAAATGAGGAGGTTTCAGTAAAAGTGATAGTCACTGCAAAATGTCTGGGCTGCTTCTCTGTGAAGAATTCAACTGTTTCTCATAAAAAATATTTTTAAAGTTTCTGCAGTTTGTAATTGTATTTTACAGTTTCATTACAAAGCTCATTTTAATTCTTCTCCAAACCGTTTTTACCAGTCCTTTTGCCACTTTCTCTTTAGAAAAGTCATTAAGTCAAGACTGGAGATCATCCCATTTCCCCAGTTTCAAGGATATTAATCTGTTTTATTGGTATTTCATTGTCATTTCCATTCGAGTGTTCTCCGTATTTGCATAATTTGCTTGCCATCCTCTTCCCTGATGACAAGCACAGGCTCAGCTTTTCACTTTAATTCTACAATCACGTTGTATTTTATTTTATTTTCTGAGGAGATGCTGTTTTCTCTGGGCCAGAACCACAGGCTGGGAGCAGGATGCTGAGGTCCTGTCTCCATCACCCAATTCTTGACTGATCTTCAGCAAGTGCCAAAGCCAGCTGTGAAGTCAGTCATGAGCTGGCCAGTGCCTGTCTCAAAGGGACAGAAAGTAACACCACAGCAGCTTCATTTCCCAAGTGCAAAAAGAATTGTTGTTCTCCAGCTACTCAGAACAACAAACTGTCTTCAGAATATTTATGTACAGCCTGGACAATACTTAAAGCCTTTCAGAAACAGATCAAGCTGTAGACAAGTCCCTTGTTTCAAGTTACACCATTTTCACGTCCCCACTAATGTTCAGTGCCTTCAACCTGAGACCAAAAAGTAGGCCTTCTCCTCCTCCTTCCCTTAAGAACCAAGGTTTGGGTGCTGGGATAGCCTATGTGCCCAGAAACTGGGTTACTGGGTTGCTATTTCCAGACTTGGAGGTGGCCAAGATTCAGCACCAGGGATCAGAGCAAAAGCAGCTTCACGTGCCAACGTCAGGGCATCAACCCCCTGGCTGCACCCAACACCCATCCCACCAGCATCATTAGGTGCAGCCATAGAAATGGGGCTACTGAGGGTCAGTGGTGGGGCTGAGGAGAGCACATGTTGTGTCAGAGCTGCAGCACAGGTAACATCCTACAAATGCATACTAAGGCCAAGAAGAAACCACTCTTAGGGCCGAATCCCTCTTCAAATGGGCTGGCAAGTCCCTCCCCACCATGGGGTGATGGTTTAAGCCCTTCTCCATCACTCTCTGCTGCTGCCATGTCACTGCACCACTTGAACCATCTCTCCCCAAAATATTAATCCCCGCAAGAGCTGCCCTCCATTCCAGACCCCAAAGTGGGGGGGTGTACAGGAGCAGGCTGCACCAGGACACCTCAGCAACCCTCCAACTCTGTGCAGAATGTTTATGGCAGAGAAAAGGTGCCCCCTCTACATGCCCCAAGCAGAGAGACAAGCACAAGAGCTGAGGGATTGGAACTGACTGAATAATGGGTCCCATCTGCTGGAAGAAAATGAAATTTGCCCTCATGTTACTGAAAACTTGCACTCAACACTCACTGCACATTATAAAGAAAAGGTCAGTAAAACACAACAAGCACAAAGAGCCCAGCTGGAGAAAGCAATAAATAATGACAGCATCCCTTGTCTAATTTTTCAGTGCGTCTCTGTCTTTGCTTAAACCCTCTCAATTTCCCCTCCACACTGCTGCAAGGGGCTGGGATGAGCAGCTTTGCTTCTTCTGGACAGGAGCACATCAGTCTGTGCAGGCTCCTAGGGTCCATCATAGAGTTCAGAGGAAAACAGGAATGACCATCAGACAAGATTAGTAGTAGCAGTAGTAGAACTACTGCTACTACTAGGTGAGATTGAGAAATGTTGTCCTTGGGCTCACAGCTGTGCTTTGCTTCTCTGAGAAGGAATATCCCTGCAGTTGAATGCAGCCAGGGCCATCCCCATGGGACCCCCCTGTCTCTAACACAGCCAGTGGAGGCTCTTACCATCCGCGATGAAGTGCTCGGGCACATGGAGCGTCACCTTGACAGTCAGAGGGCAGGAGAGCTGGGAGCCACACACCACAGCCAGGACACAGGAGCTGACTGCGATCAGGGTCAGCGCTGTCTTGTTGACTGGGCTCTTCATTGAACCTGGAAACAGAGAGAGGGGTGGGTGGCCAAAAGACACAGCAGGAGAGCCCCAACCCCAGGGAAGAGAAGCCATTGAGAACAAAGATCAGTAGCCCTGGATGAGCTCCTGAGGTCTGCAAACCCTGTAATTCCCATCACAACTTGTTTGGCTGAGTTTTTAACATTTGTTTTGTTTCTCTCACTGAGATACACCTGTCTTGGGGACTATATTTTTCTAGAGGAGGAAGAAAACCTGCTCAGAGCAGAACAGACCCTCTCCCTGGCACCCTTTATCCCTGGAGCCATTCACCACACCTGCCAGGCTTCCCTACCACCTTCATTTCATGTCAGCCTTGCTTTATTTGGCAAATCTTGTCAAATAGAAAAAAAAAAATCAAGCCAAGTCTGAGGGCTGCCTGCACTGGGGCAGTTTGCTCTCCCTTAACACCAGGAGAAATCTACAACTGTAGACATTATATGGCACTAATGAGTGTTAATTATTTATTATCCAATCAGGCTTGATTCTGTTTTATTTGGATTACTATTTTTTAAGCATTAGGTGAAGTCAACAAGCCAACAAGGAGCTTGAGCATCCACAGGTCTAGAGAGGTTGGCAGCAAAAAAAAGACCACCAGGAAATCCTCAGGGAGCTGTGAGGTGTTAGTAGGATTCACTGTCAACAAGAGTTGGGTGAGAAAGAGCAGCACCCAAACTCTGCTGGGAAGGGGTGAAGCTAAGCAACAAAGTCACTGGGAAGGGCCTGGCTGCCCCAGGAGATTCAGATGCTCTGACTAGGTGCAGGCCAGTAATGCCTGTGGGTCCAGATGAGACATCCTCTGTAGATGACAAGGAGGAACTGGTCAGATACAAGTTTACTCTGGCCAGTGCTGCCCTCTCAAGAAGTCCCTAGTGCCTGAGAAGAGAGTAGCCCTGGAGATCACAGCTTGGAGCATCACTGGTGCCTCTCCAGACCCTCTGACTACAACATATCCCCAGTGGCCACCAACCCAAACACCTCACACCAGGTGAGGTTCAAAGATAATGAGAGGTACTTCACAGAGGAGCTGGTTCTGATTAGAACTGATCAGTACAGCAGTGCCAAGGAACGGGCACTGCCAAGCAATTCACGCCAGCACCAGCACAGTGCATTGCAATGTGACTGGGATGACAGAGCTCTGGGCAGAGCCAACCTGCTCAGGATTCAGGTGAGGACACTTATTTATTCTTGGAAGCCAGTCCAGCCTCTCTGCCCTCACTCCCCAGCCCTCATCATCTCATCAGAAAGATGAGATTTAAAAAGCATCAGTTTGAAATTTGAATGGGAAATACATCCAACAAGTTAGCACTTGCACACTTTAATCTGACCAAAACTGCTGTCAGAGATGCTGGTGGCAGGGCAGGGATCTTGTGCTGAGCCCATGGCCTGACCCATGTTTTCTAGGCAGGAAAATCCATGCCCCACCAAAGCAGGATGGGACCTGCACTGTGGATGCTCCAATCAGCACTTGCAGGACAAGACAAAAGGAATCTGCTGGAAAATACCTTCCCCCAGCCTGACCAACAGGAGTAAGCAAACTGATTATTTATGAAGCATTTTTACTTTCCTTACACATGCATCATCTAAACCATCCTCCCCACCCCTGTTTCACAGCTTTAGTGTCAATCTCCTGCACCCTTCACTTTGTAATCTCCTTTTTTCCCTTCCCAATCTTTATTCATATCATCAGCATAATTTAGCACCTCCTTGGGAGGCAAATTCATTCTCTGGCTGGCCATACTGTGCCTGCCACAAACCCTGCCTCTGCTTGCAGTTACTACACTCATGCAAAAAGTAAAAAAGAGGGGAGAGAAAAAAAAAAAGAAAAAAAAAAAAAAAGGAAGAAAGAAGGAAAAAAGGCTCCATCAGGATAATTGGACACAGCCAAGTATACAATAGACCAGAGAACACTAGATTTTACCATTATAAATCACCTTTCAATCCAGGGTCTTAAAGTGCTTTGCAAACATTAAATCATAAATCCCTTCTGAGTTAGATAAGTATTATCCCCTGTTCACAAAGAGCCTGAATCCCAGGTATGGCAGCAGCTTTCACCACAGCCACAGTGGAGCTGAAAGAACATGGAGCCAAGAGCTTCCATTCCCATCACTCCACAGTTTGTTCTTTCCCCTGACTGAGAGGAGAGGGGCACGGGAGCTTGAAACAGCAAAAAGCCCAATATAGCTCAATGAGTTTGAGCTTGGCTGCCCAAGGAAAGGGACAATGTGCTACAAGTTTCCTATAATTGCCTTCCCTGCTCCTCTGCCTCCCGCTCCTCACTTGTTTCCATCACAGTGCTAATTATTGACCTCTAGAACTGCCTGATGTTGGCTTTGACCAACTGAACCAAAACAACAGGTCTTCTGCTTGAGTAGAAACTGGATTTCCAGCTCAGCTCTTTATTGCTTATGGCCAGTTTGCTGCCAGGTTTGAGAGGAGGCTGCTGGAAAAGCAGATCCTTCCCTTGTTCTTTAAAGAGAGGGACATGGCTCCTATTCTCCATCCCATCAGCTGCTCTTCAGCCCACTGATGCTCCAGCAGAAGCACTCCTGTGCTGTGTGTTTGAACATCTGTCTGGAGGTAAACAGCTTCATGGCAAACCACAACCTACAAGCCATTTTTAGCAAGACACTGCTAACCAAACCAACCTCAACAGATCTACTGGGGTTTCTCTCTCCTGTTCAAGAGGTGAGAAAATGACCAATTGCTTCCTTGCCCCAGGGGTATCCTAACCCTTCTCCATAACTCAGGCAGTGCCACACAAATACACCTCCAGACACTGGACATGGGAGCTCAGCCTGGGTGAAGCCTGTGCCTTCCTTTCTCTCCTTGTCACCTCCAGGATTCTAGGGAGTGAAGATCTGCAAACCCAAGTCTACTGAACAAGTTGTTATCAACCTCCTTGATCAAGAGGAGAAAGTCTGAGGGACAATGCAAGACCTTCATGGATGCCTGATGGAACTCAGGAGCCCCAAGAGACTTACTGAGTCTTTGTTTGGGTCTTGTGGGGCCCAAAAGACCCAAGAGGAAGCTGGTGATCAGGCATGGCTGAGATCAGACTCCCTCTCCAGATTCCTCTGCCCTAATAAATCCTTTGTATATTGAGATGACTTCACTATATTTTTAATTAAACCTGTTTCTATTGTATTTTGGATGGTGGCAACAGAGGGAGTGGGTGCCCAAGAGCTCAGCTGGTCTGTTTTAGGGGGAAAATGATGGCCTGAGGAGCAGGCAGAGCAGCAGACAGGACACACAATAAGGATGAAGAATAAGAAGAAATTATTCTTTCCACAATGAGGAGAAATAACCTCTTACCCTGCTTGCAAAAGCAAAGGAGACAGAAGCAGAAAGACAAACTGTTCTATTGTAGGGCAGAATGGTACTTGAGATGCTTCATGTTAACAATCTGCTTCACAACAGCTTAATTAGACTAGAAGACAAGAAGAGCAGCCAGGACAGTGGTCAGATGGGCTCTGGCCTCCTCCACATCTCCCACTTGGGATTTTTTTTCCTCTTTAACACCAGTGTCAATTAGTCCAGCTCCTGCCTCTTGAATAACATGCAGGTCCCTCTGCAGATAGTTCCAAAACAGCTTCCAAAGAACCACGTTCCCCTGAAGATTTTGCACCTGCTGCAAGACGCCGATAACTTCAAAGCCACTGGTGTCAGGAGTCTGCGAACAGCCCCTCCAAATGCACCGTGTCTCCTTTGAAACACCATTTTCCCAAGCTGTTAATCACTTTGCTGCTTTACACACTTTCCTTTGCCCACCTAAAGAACACAGAGGGAAAAGACCCAACAAAACCCTGTGCTCGTTTCTTTTTAACATTGGCAGTGCTGCCTAAATTTAAGACAGGGGGAGGGAACAAAAGGTACGTTTGGAACACTCGTGGATTTACAAGCAACACAAATATCCCATGCTCTTGGTAATACGATGTTTCTAAATCAGACTCATAAATACATGCTTGGGAGATTAGTCTATAAAAAAATTAAACTTTAATTACCCCATCTCACACAGCACACAGCCCATGGTGTTAGCCATATGTGGGTGTGAAACGCCAAGTGCTTTGCAATTCCCCCCCCCCCAGATAATAGCATCATACAAACTGTTTCACAGCTACTCAGATATTAAAATGTATTTCTACTGCCCGAGGAAGATGGGAATGGGGAAAAGGAGAACAGTGAGTGCCTGAAGTGCTTAGCAACGTTGGGCACAGCTGCCGCGGTGTCAGGCTGCGTGCAAAGGGCCTGGCGCGGGGTGAGGCTTCTCCTGCATCCCAGGGAGCAACCCACCCCGCATCCCGGGGAGCAGCCCATCCCAGGGAGCAGCCCAGCCCGTATCCCAGGGAGCAGCCCATCCCACATTTCAGGGAGCAGCCCATCCTGCATTTCAGGGAGCAGCCCATCCTGCATTTCAGGGAGCAGCCCATCCCGCATTTCAGGGAGCAGCCCAGCCCGCATCCCAGGGAGCAGCCCAGCCTGCATCCCAGGGAGCAGCCCATCCCACATTTCAGGGAGGAGCCCAGCCCGTGTCCCAAGGAGCAGCCTGTCCCGCATCCCAGGGAGCAGCCCAGCCCGCATCCCAGGGAGCAGCCTGTCCCGCATCCCAGGGAGCAGCCCATCCCACATCCCAGGGAGCAGCCCTTCCCACATTTCAGGGAGCAGCCCGTCCCGCATCCCCGCGCTGCTCCCACCACCACTGCCAGCGTGTCAGAGGAGTTGGATGCCCCTAATGATCCTTCTTTATGTTCCAGCAGAGGCTCATTAATACGGTACAACTGCGTTTCCAGGGCACCCTCACACACAGAAACATCACGAGGTGTTTTACAAGTGGAAGATCATGTTGAATCAAATCAAATGCCAATTAAGACGAGCAGCAGCCCTGGCAGATGGCTCTTGCCACAGAGCACCCCTGCACCGGGGAGCAGCACTGCCCATCTGCCCCCCCACCCCTTCCACTTCAGCATGGTCCTTCTTTCTCCAA